TGAAGTTCATTTATTTGTTTAAGCAGGTTGATTAATTGGCAGCTGTAATAGCTGATGTGGACCTGCTGTCCTAACCCAACCATCCCACCCCAGGGGAGGACATCCATCACACAGTAATCTCGTGTGTGGGAAATTAACGTCTCCTGCCCTAACCCTGCAGGAGACAGAACCTCCATTTATTCGTCCCTATCCGAGAAGACTAGAATATCTAACCATTTCTTGATGGTATGGAAAGGTAGCAGATTCTTCTCAATTATTTTAAGACCTTGTGTGTTGGTCCGGCCGGGGCTCGAACCCTCGACCTCCCGCACTACAGTCCAGCGCTCTATCCATTGAGCTAACCGGGAGGCGGTTAGCTCAAGGGATAGGCGGTTAGCTCAATGACTTTAGCGGTTAGCTCAATCGTTGTTTTTGACACTGAGACTACCTGCACGGGAAAAATGCAGAACTCTGTCAGCTGTCCGCCATTCATGAAAATCAAGTGTTTTCAAAGTACATTCTACCAACAGGAAATATGAGTGCTGGAGCTTCACGAGTGAACAAACTATGTGTTCAAAATATCAATGGAATCAGAAAATTATTGAAAGAAAACCAACCAGTGGAAACCGTCTCTCTTGATAAAGCGCTTCAGGAGTTTCACACCTTTCTTAGTCAAGTAAAATGGTCATTCCAGAAGGAATCTTGTATAGTTCTAATAGGTCATAATTCATCAACATTTGACACTCCAATACCTCTCCGGAGAAGCGACGAAAATTTTCGCAGCAAACTAAGCAACCCGAATGTTTATTTTGGCGACAGTCAAATCCTTGTCAAACATCTTTTGAAAGATAAAACACCCGGCATTGCAACTCAGTGAGTCGACATCTTGCAAATCAAACCAATCAGCACTAGCTTTACTCACATCTCTTTAAAGAAGAATTTGAAGCCCACGATGCCTTGGAGGACGTTAAGGCACTTGAAAACATTCTGTTTCATTCTACACTTTAACTGAACAAAGAAAAACTCGTGAATCGTTCCGGAGTCATTAGTGTTGAACAAGCAATTGCCAGTATGTCGTATTTGGATAGACGCCATGAAATTCTTCAGACATTCAGCGGAAGACTTTTCGACCCCAGGGACGACAGTGGTGCAATAACACAATCAATGGCTCAGAAGACTGCAGGAAGTGGGCTTTCCTATTCACATCTCAAAGAGTTATATTTAAAGTTGGGAACAAAGAGGCTGCTTGCGACCCTCAGCATGCCTCCTTTTCAGAACACAGCGTGGAAACCTCGTGTCACTCGAACAAAGCGTATTCTCGATGCCATTGCAAACCACTTTCAGGAAACATTTCCGAAAGAAGAATAGTTCCTTTGGTTCCATTGTTGGTAAATTGTAACTTCATGTGTTTCCATTTAACCACGTTTAAACTGCAGAAACTAGCCAGCACGTGTTGTGCCTCTGGAGGTGCTTGATGACAACGTACGTACCTCGCGTAATATTAGCCAGATTTAAATGACTGAAATTCTCCAAAACGTAGCAACGAAGCAAGCTTGTTAACGGCACTTCAAAAAATAATTTACAGGTCCACTTGAACGACTGATTAAGCTAATGAAATCGACCGAAAAATCGAGCGAGTGACTCTTCGAAACAAATCAAGGTTTTGACCAGCGAACAACGTTTGCGCATGCGAAAAGCGGGATCTTGTAAAGGCCAGATTTTGGAAACGCGCGAGACGCGCGTGGATTTTCTTTAGACGCGAAGTGAATTATTTAAAAAACAAGTCCGGTGACCCCACTATTTTATTTTAAAATTGGGTAGTGTGGACTAAGAGAAAAGTACTGGTAAAATTTAAAAAAATTCTCTGGACCGGACTTATAGCCACTCAAAAGTTACGGTTTTTAGCAATTGCATAAAATCTGCTCCAGAGATTTTTTTTAAACTCTCCATAATTGCTTCCACTTCCATGTAAAATTGGATCAAATTAAGAAAAATAGGGGTCACCGAGTTAATTTTTGCGCTATTAGCGTTAGAAGCTCCATGATGGCTCTTATTTACAACCATATGCTGTTGCTATGGTAACAGCTGATGACGCCATGGGATTATGTTTTGGTTCACTGATGATTGAGCTAGTAACTGTTACCAAAAAACTGTAAGAAAAATTATTTTTTTTTATTGAATCCCTCAAATGTAAAAGTGCTAGAAAACCTAAAAACTATGGTGAGCCATTTAAGAGTATTGTATATATCGGTACATAAGTAGAGGGACACAGGATTATGAGTTTAACTACTGTCACGTGCTACCCTCTCGAAATGAAGTCTATTGTGTTGTACTGTATTGTACTTTAATGTACAAAGCTAAACACAGCCTTAGCCCTTTGAATATTTGTAATTGAATGAATTCCTCATTTATATTGTTATTATCCTTATTGTAATATCTTTCAGAAACACAACTCTTCCTATAATTTAAGACAGGTCGACTTTTCTATTCCTAGATACAACACATTAACTTATGGCAAACATTCATTACGCTATTTAGGACCTAAATTATAGAGTAAACTGATAACTTATGACAGATCAGCCACAACATTAGCTAGTTTCAAAAACCGCGTACGTAAGCGTGACCTCAGCTCTCTATTAGACGATGGCTGCAGGGGCTGTGCTCTATGTAATTCTTAATTCATACATGGTATGACTTAATTTTATTTTTAGGTAGGTAATATTCTTTGTAAATACTGTTTATCCATTTTATTTGTGTCCCCACATTAGTATGGGATATCTCCCAAACTAGAAGGTTCTTTGACACGTTGATAGCGGGGCTCCCACGCGGGCGAAGCGCGAAGCGCGCGTGGGGCAGAGCCCCATACCCATGGAATATGGTCAACCACTTTTCGTTTGGTTGTCATGTGACTGGTAGGGGAGACTATCAAAACGAAAGGAGGGGTGTCTCAGGCGAGTCTTGGCAAATGCACATCTTTTATGTTATCATTAATATTACGAACTTGGGAGTTCCGCTTTTAGGCTTGGCTAAATCTATATGTTAAAGTTTCTATCTATTAATCCATCTATCTATCTATCAAAAAATCTGTGACAAAACAATTTGTCACATTCTTAGACAATAACGACAAGTTATCACAATTTCAAAGTGGCAACCGTAAATATCACTCCACCGAAACGGCTCTCCTATTTGTAACTGATGACCTATTAAAAGCTATGGATGAAAAGGAAATCTCAATATTGGTGTTGATGGATATGTCGAAGGCTTTTGATAGTATAAACCATGACATGTTATTTAAAATCCGCAGCCTTGGTGTGTCTCCATCACCGCTAGAATGGTTTAAAAGTTACTTAAAGGGAAGGTATCAGTTTGTTCGTATTGCCAGTTGATTATGAGTTCCACAGGGATCTATTCTTGGTCCCGTTCTGTTTACTGTTTACATAAATTATTTGCTATCTATACCTCATCCTCGGAGACCCAGGGGCTGTGAGTCGATTTCAAGTTAAGGGCAGAAGAGCCCCTGGGGGACATTGTCTTACAAGACTAATTCCAAACGGTCGCAGTCGTTCTGTCATCTGATTGGTGCCAGAAAATCTTTGTTTTTTTTCTGCCCAATCAGAGTGAAGCGTGCTTTGGAGTCCTTTCGTGTGTTTTAACACGCATATATACACCTCAACAAGCTCTGTTGCTCGCTATGTTTGTTTGGGCCGTGCGACGAAGCTTTGCCCGAGGTAAAAAGTTTCAGTCTCAGCACACAATGTAAAAGAAATCGATCAGATTGTCCGCGAAAATCTTACCGGTAATTATACTGAATACTTTCGCAGGTATCACAAGAGAACGTGTTTAAAAGTTTGCTAGGTTCGTATAAAACATAATAGTTGCAGGCATTGATATGTCGCTTTAAACGTTAAACGAGATGTAAGCTTAAATCTTTCTACCAGTGTAGATTTTTTGTATAATTTGCTGTAACTGAAACTTTTGCAATCCCGTGAAGCTATTTCGTCGCACCGGCCACGCAGGTATGTCGAGTGACTGGCGCTTACGCAGCTTTCTGTGCGCGCCAAAATCTAAAAACAAAAAAGAAAAGCTAAGCGTGGAAACTTTTGTTTATTAGATGTGGGTAGATAACCCTGTACTAAGCTGACACTTACAATAAAGCAAACCCGCCCTTTCCATCAACTACTTCCTTGTCTTTAGTTTTGTTTTCCCCCAATAAAAGCAGCATCGATTCCCAATGATCGAAGGTATTTAACTTGGTCTTCAACAATCGACAAATGAGGTGAAATGACAATGACCAAGGGAGTAGAAGAGAATCCGTGGCCTTCCTGGCTCTAGAATTTGAACACTCTAGGCAACAGTTGAAAGACTAAACTCTTTCCAAACCCCTTCGGTAACTGCCCGAAAACACCTCTCCTTCCCACGATGTTCTCGCTAATAAGTTTTTGTTCAGATTTAAATTAGCTAACCGGAAACACAGCTAGGCTTTCTGTAAACGCTCGCTGGAGGTCGTCCACGAAATTAACGTTCTCTGCAACTTTGGCCATATTGTGAAAGACTTCACTACAAAGCAAACATTAGATCATTTTTGGCGTGCACAGAAAGCTACGTAAGCATAAGCATCAGTTGTTCGACATACTTGCGTGGCCCGTGAAATAACTTCACGAGATTGGCAAAGTTTCAGTCACAGCAAATTGTACAAAAAATCTAGAAAGATTTAAGCTTACGTCTCGTTTAACGTTTAAAGCGAAATATCAACGCCTACAACCATCGTGTTTTATACGAACCTCGCAAACTTTTGTACACGTTCTCTTATGATACCTGCGAAAGTATTCAGTATAATTTCCGGTGAGATTTTTGCGGACAATCTGAT